CACTCTCTCTCTTTCTCTCTCACACACGCACACTCCCCTTCACACACACTCTCTCTCTCCCTCACACACACTCTCCCTCACACACACACTCTCTTTTCCTCTCTCTCTCTCTCTCTCTCACACACACACACACACACACACACACACACACACACGAATCCTATAATTCCTTAGGGGTTGTGGTGGCACCACATCTACTGTAGCCATAACAACAATGGTATGTTTTAGGCAAGACAGTCTGACAGAGCCCAACACTTCAGGGTTTTCCTTCTCCTAGACTAGTTGACAACCAAGTCTATAGGGCCTAATCTGTCCTGCTATTTACCCATAGCTGGGGAGCGTCTGGGTAAGTGGATAAACTACGTCCAACAGCATGGCCTCTGATTAGGAGGTTTAGAGGAGCGTGGAACCACCTCTTAATTGCTGGTGTTCCCAGGTTCACCCTGACCCGGGGTGGTAGCACCAGTTAGGGTCCCAGATATGGAGAAATAGTTAACACCCAAATTTGTGTAAAAATAGGCTTTAATAACAGAAATACTTTGTAATAAAAAATATTATTACTAGCAATAATTTTTGAAGGAAAAATTATCAGCAATACTTTTAAAAAAATACCAGCTATACAATTCTTTGGAAAAAATGTGACCAGCTATAGATTTCTTAAAGGAAAAATATTCTCAGAAATAGATTGTTGAAGAAAAACATTACCAGCAATAAAAATTTTGTCGGCATTAAATAATCTATTGAGGTTGATATGCCGTAAAACAAACCAAACCACAAGTTGGGGAAGAGATGGATTCATACCTTTCCCAATGGTATTAGTCCGTAAGCGAATGTAATGAACTCTAACAGAATTCGAATACGGTTCTTCGATTCCACAAACCGAGCAGCAAAAGACTTGCAAAAGTTATAGCGTTCTTGTGACAATTCACCAATCACATATTAAGAATTTTGGTAGCCTTCTTAACAGATTAAAAGATAAATATGACCCATTCTTGGGTTTGTTCACTTAAGAGAATATTACTTTTTATGAATTACAAACATTTTTTTGACCTCACATATTTTTGGGTGGATTCCAATTCGACTTCCGAGGTCACCGGAGGTCATTGGTGGTAGAACTAGATTATGATTTGTCTTGCAGCCAAACAATTACATTTAGGGAGGCCGAGTAGTACTGTAACCCACAAAATACCTATCACTTCTCAACTCACACACCAGCTCTAAATCCTACGGTATTAGTTTTGACGGCGAAGTCTAGTGTGAATTCTATGTGTACGTTGTGTACCACAGGCAAGATTGCGTAATTCCCGCGTTTGACCGTTTTATGCCTCTTTTTGCCCGAGCGCACTTCAGAATTCAGGCTGGAATAAGAACTCCTTCATGCACAGCACTGTGGATAACTACAACAACAGGTTTGTTAAATATAAAGAAAAAATGATTGAATAAAATGTCTTTATTAGCTACTTCAAATCAAGTTCTATGCTACAGGTTGGTGATGTGGAAATGTCATAGCCACCAAAGTAATAGCTAGCCAGTCGACCTTTCATGAATTCTTCTGTTATGCGTGTGTCTGTGTGTTCGATCATGTCACCGAAATGTGAATGTTTTTCTCGTGTCTGACATCTGCTCCCCGCTCGAAGAAATGATCTCCAAAAGAAATGCAAGCTGGCTTTATATAGGAAAATCTTTTCCGATAACAAAGATTAATGGCTTCACTTTACCTAGCTAAGTCCCAGAAAATGACAATTCACAACGCCCAGTTTCATTATTACCCTATTCCCGTAAGTTGACCAACTGACTTTCTTACTGGCGAAGGATTCGTCGTCAAGATAAAAAATAATGATGTCTATAAAAATTGCGGACGATTGTTGCAGAAAGAGCACATCTTAATCTTAGCCGATCTTGTTAAAAAACACATGGTATTTCCAGTGTTTACTTAAAATCTTCCAAGATATATTTCTTCTTCAAATATAATTAGGCTCTTGGGGCGATCAAAGCAAATAATTCCCAAATCTTGGAGCCTCAAACAAGACAGATGTTTTGTTTCTTTGTTTAAAATAATTTAGATCATTATTTTCTGCAGACACACACACATTTTTCTGCAGATAGCGTAGTGTAAAGAAATGGTCCGAATTCTAGTTTCTCCAGCGTCAAGAACTTCTGACAACACATTAATCGTTTTTTTCTTATCAGCGGGAAGTAGGTAGATTTGGAGATCTTGGTTTTGCTCAATTTTATTGAATCTTGTCTCGATAAATCTGGTTTCAATTTGTCTTCGAACTGTTCTTAAATTAATGTTATTGTTTTAAAACATGAATTTTAACGCGTTTTGTCTTTAATTTTCTTCTCAAACATTCAACATACTCTGCTGAGAATTTGAAGAACTAGTATTTTTGCAACACACAGACACATGTTGAAATCCTCGCAGTATTTAGTATTGTTAAAGTTACCGCTAACATTTTCTACGTTTCGTTCAATTTCGCAAACAAATTGATGAAATTTGGATAAGCTGATTTGCTTAGAAAAAATACTTTGAGAAAAACCCTACGTCAAAAAATTTTAAAATTTCTTTAAATTTAGAATTTCATTTAAACAATAATTTTTAAAATAATTTCTTTTTGCCCTTTAACAGCGAAAATCAATTTTTAGGATTTCTTACTCTTGAGCATGCAACATATAACTGGGCACGCGTAAATATTTCTTTCTGGAGCCAAATGTCTACTTTTTGAAGCATTTCGCCTTCTCATTTGTTTATAGTTCTCTCAAACGCAGGGCGAACTGGAAACTGGATTCTTGTATATATAAAAACTTAAAGAAAAGATATGCAAAGAACACTATTGTATTTTTATTAAATAAGTATTTGTTATTTTAATCATTAAATTCTTTTTAATATAACGGGTATATTTTGTATGTTAAATAATAAATCTTTTAATTCTTCAAAAAATTAATGAAAATTTATTGTACTAAGCTACTCACCCTAGTAAAACCAACTATATTTTGTATCCTCTTACTTGTTTGCATTTCTCCTTAAAATTTGGTTTCGACCGATCAATGTATGGGTATTTTAGAACATGTGACGGACGCACTAACGGAAGTCACAGAATTTTATTAACACTTTCAACAAACTTACTCTTGGGTTTCAAGCAACTTCAATACATATCTTTGCCAAGACTATAAATGAAAGCAATTGTATGGGATATGTATTGGTAGGGGATTAAATGAAATATATATACTTTCTTTTCATCCCACTTCATATGAACTCAAAAGGAACTTTTTAGTATGTATACAACGTGTCATAATTTCCGATCTCTCATTGAAAACTTTTTTGGTCTGGAAATGTTATTATAGCTAATTTCTCTTTTTGACAAAGGTTGCATATATTACTATGATTATTTAAGGTTTGGCTTTTAAAAAAAAATTTCAGTTTACAATCGGATTTTTTTCCTCTAATTTCCACACATGGTTGGCTAGTCTAGTAGAATTCCTAAGACTTTCTAGCTTATAATCACAAGTCATCATTTAAGCTTACCCCAGCTCATCTTTTCGGGATATATATATATATATATATATATATATATATATATATATATATATATATATATATATTGTTACTATAAAAGTTATATTTTGCGGGCATTCTTGTTCGAATAGATATAACTTTTTAAAGAATAAAATTAATATTTAGCAGCCTCGAGATCGAAAGAGTTATTAAAAAATGTGTCGCTGATAAACCACATTCAAGTCTGGGGTGTTTTATCCTTAAGCTACAAGAAGCCACCCCAGTGAAACGAGGCTCAATTACTCTATTGAAGAAATGCACATTTCCCGTTGGGTCATTTCGAAGTCTGTATCTAATAATTTCCTTTTCGTGCCTAAAACGTAAATCGTAATTTTAAAAACTTAAATTTAAATTTGTAAATTTAAATTTAAAGTTAATTTAAATTCAAACGTAATTTTAAAATAATTAATGGATTTTTAAAATCCTACCTAATTTCTTATTACCATATATTGGGTAGAAACAAAATATTGTAGCGTTTTTAAGCGAATGTCAAAGACAATATTTATCTATTTGTATATAGATCTACTCCATCTCATATGCGCCATTTTATTCCGCCGTTTTTTGAGACAGCTTTATAGCGATTCCATTCTCCCGGAACTTGTCATCTTTCTTGGTGGTTTTACAGACTTCCAAGGATGACCTTCTTATAAAGAGAATTTTGTGGATAGCGAAATTAGTGGCAATCTAAAATTCAATATCAGGTAAATATGCTGGCTATAATAAAACCTGCAATCTAAGACAGTAAATATAATTGAAATTGTTTTGCCACCAATACAAAATTGAAGAATACCATCTATAGACATTGGACGGACAAACGTCATAGTAGAACCATTTAACAACGATATTAAAAGAACTATCAATAAAATTCGATTATTCTCAGTAAAAACTGGCAGCTTGGAAAACGGCAAGCATTTTCGTGAGTTAGCACAAATCATGGAGGTTTGTAAAAGACTGATAAGAGATATTTGCAAAGTTGCTGAAGATGAGAAATCCCATTTGATCTGCAGCGTATCTTCAAGTCGACAATTCGATGTTATAACATTTGAATTTAATTGATGGATTATAACGTCAAGACACTATGCATTTAATGTGAACTTCAGCTTGAAAGGCGTAACAACCTTCTACAGTATTTGATCTGATACGCCTGGTAATCTTTTTTAATCTGGTCTTCTTCTTGTCGAATCGCTACACCACACCCATCCACTGTTGCACACAGCCTTGTCTGGGGTGTAAAAGTTGCAAGGTCGTTAAGTGTGCATGAATCTTCAAGACTGGTACAAACTAGAAGCTGATCCATACTTTGTAATTGTCCTCATTGAGATCAACATCGGTGGAATATTTCCTATTTCTGAAGGTTGACTCAACAGCGAGAAACAGTTTTTCGGGGGCGATTTAGGCAGGACCAGAAAGGCCAGGCATCACTGGAGCCAGGAAGGGGGATTATCTAGGTCTGAGAGAGAGAGAGAGAGAGAGAGAGAGAGACAGACAGACAGACAGACAGACAGACAGACAGACAGAGACACAGAGAGACAGAGAGAGAGAGAGAGAGACAGAGAGAGATTGGGCTCGACGTTTTTAAGGCGACTGTACCACGCTGACGAGGAGATGTTGTTCAGTGGTTCGGCTCAGTATAAAAAGCTGTCTTGACTTGAGCCTCTTTATCATTGGTTCACAACCGTGGTGTGGATGACGAGGATCAATTTCCTACTTCAACTTCTCAGATTGACAGTAGACTGTCCTTCTTATGTAAGTGGTGGGGTCAATGCCAATAAGCAAGTAGCGGTCATCTACTTTGGTTAGCTTGAGACACCCAGTGACCGATCTGCAAGAGGTGTTCAATGCAGGGGCGATTTTCATTGTGTGTGATGATCTGCTCCACACCAGTGAGGAATATTCTGCCGTGGCGTAGCAAAGTGCTACGGTTGTGATACGAATGGTAACGGTATGTGCACCCCTTTTTGGGGTCCACGGAAGGAACGTCCACCCCACTGTCCTCATTAGATGAGTTCTCTCATTTGCCAATTCCACTCCCCTCCCCCGTTATACTGCACACAATACTTTTAATCTGGGAGCTCTTGTAACGATAAAGGAATTCTACGTCCTGTGTTTAGTTCTCGTGACGCTGTTTCCTTTCAACCTATTGGCCATCTCAGTCGAATATTTATGCCAATCGAAAGTTGTGGTTAATATTGACCACTGAATAACAGAGACAGCTCTAGGGTTGCTGGCATCCCCGGGCAAGCTGAATTTTGGCGCCCTTACAAGTATATTTTTTTTAAAATTTTCATAAGGAGAAAAACTGAAAACGTAGAATAATTAGTTTATTACAATATACAACTCGTCATAAAAACACTCCAACGAGTGCACTTGATCGCCTCGTCAGTGATGTTATGACTTGGTGTCATGACAAGTTTCGGGTCTTCCAGCATCATACTTGTTCACCCAAGAGACCCTATGGAAAAAGTACTCTTCCGGCAGGCGATCCTGAAGCAAGAATTTCGCCAAGCACGCAACAAATGGACACATTAAGTAACTGCCACCGCTGATCTTGAAATTACAAGCGACCAATCATTAACTACTTACGTCACTTCCTCTTTATTTTTTCTATCCTGTAAATCTTTTCATGGAAAATTCTACATCTATCTTCTTTACAAGAAATTAACAAAATAGCCAAAGAATTTAATCTATATTGAGTCATGGACGACCGCAAGTATTGTTTTATAAATTTCGGTTTTGGAAGATCCCAAATACATGACATGGCAGCATTGATGGCGCCATCGGCCTTGATGGCGCCCTGGATGACTGCCCAAGTTGCCAGTACCTTGAGCCACTCTTAGCAAATAACTTTCTCTTTTTCATGCTGAACATATGTACAAATTCTTTGAAAATAGACTTTTTTTCTTTTGAATATCTTTTCCCCAATTATCATGGTGCATGCTAATAAAATATTGCTTTCCTTCACAAGAAAAAGACCGATATCATTAGATAGAAACAATGAAATAATTATTACCAACTTTGATTTAATTGTTCATCTAAGGGTAAGGGTTGTCCAGACCGAGTGAGAGGGGAAAAGTATTATATCAATGTGTCGAGGCTCAAGGAATATGGTGGTCAAGCCCTGGATCAAAGGATGGCTCTACATGTTCCAGAAGGACACTGCTTTCTCCCACATGGCCCATATGACTTTAGTCACTGGCTAATAATTTTCATGATCAGGTCATTTTGACACGGAATCTCCTAGCTCACCTAATTTAAATAGCTAAGATAAAAACATGTTGAGTGTTATCTAAAGGAATAGCAAAGATACAATGCATTATTACATCTGAGGCATTATCCCATAATATCATACTCATTGAAGACTGTCATCATAACCAGTATTAACAAGAACCACCTGATCCAGGCCAACAGCTATTTCTAGAGCTCCAGTCAGTGACGGCCCTAAGATTGAAGTTTGGCATCCTTACAAGTATAATTTTTTTAAATTTTCGTGAAGAAAAACGAAGTTGTAGAATAATGAGTTTATTACAATACACAACAATAGAAGCTAAAGAAAACATTCATTATCCTAACTAAAACATTTCTTCTAGCCTTTAGATCGGCAAATCTTTTCATGGCAATTTCTACACCTATCTTCTTTACAAGATCATTTTCTATTAAGTAAATAGCCAAAGAATTTAATCTGTCTTGAGTCATGGATGACCACATGTATGGTTTTATAAGCTTTGGTTTTGGAAGATCCCAAACACATGGCAACATGATGACGCCCTCAGCCTTGATGGCGCCCCGGGTGACTGACCGAGTTACCAGTACCTTGAGCCAGTCCTGCTGAATGAAGACCCTTAACAAGGATGGTGATTATGTTGCCAAATATATATTTCCTTCGTAAAATAAATGCTTTTCATCGACCATTTGTAATTATTGGTGTACCTGATATTTGTGTGTATAGGTGGGATTTTGTCTTCACTTTTATTTACTTTTTTAATCGATTTCACACAAAGCAAGTAAAGCCACTTAGACACAAAGTGCTACTGAGTATGGAAGAATTAGAAAACAGAAACATTAATAATGAGCAGGAAGATAAAAACAAGCAATCAGGAGGTCAGTAGATAGCGATTGACATTGTATTTAATTTTTTGAACGTTAAGGTTGGCTGGAAAGCATGGAGCCGGAAGGGAGTTCCATAAGCGAGAAATGCGAGAAAATAAGCTGTTAGCATATAATTTACAGCTACACCTAGCCAGCTCAACTGTAAGTCGATGAGATTTCGACGCCTGTCTGGTACTGCGCTTAAATTTTTTTTAAAATCTAGGTACCATAGCGAAGAGGACATCCGGGCAATTACAATGAAAGTATTTGAATAAAAGGTACAGGAAGTCAACTTTACGACGGTGGAAAAGTAAATCGACAGATCAGTACCGATGCCAGTGTTCATTTTGTTTTTTATTTTATCAAAGCTCTCAAGGTAAATAGCAGGGACACCGGACCATATATGGCAGCAATATTCTAAGCATGGACGAATTTTGTTAGATGTGAATTCATTACTTCTTGGACTGCGATAAAAAAAAAAGGAAATAAAAGTACATAGCAATGCGTCTTCGACCTTTTAGACGTTTTTTTCTTTCTCTAACTTTGTTTCTGTGACCTCCTGTATCCACCTACACGCGCACATGCCCATCAAAACACTGTATACATATAAATGTATATATGCGTGTGGACTTGAAAGTCTGTGAACAAGTGCCTGTGTATATTATTTCTGTTGATGCAAAAAAAAAAAATCAAAACAAACTAAATAGTAAAAGTAAAAAAAAAAAAATTGTTCTATTTTCGTGACTTTTTTTGTGTTTTTCGTTTTCGCACATGATAAACTCATCTTACTGCTGTCTAAGTTAAAAGCAGCTCGTCTCCAGGCTCAAAGCAACACGTGGCCAGACCTGCACGTGGGCAGCAATCAAGACCACAGGCGCAGGAGGGAAGGGGAGAGAGAGGTAGAGAGAGAGAGGTAGAGAGAGAGAGAGGTAGAGAGAGAGAGAGAGGTAGAGAGAGAGAGACCCGAATGCAGATCTTTTATTCTTAAATTAACAATAACAAAAAAAAAAAAAAGATGTCTAAAGTTCAACCCATTTCTTCAAGTGATCCACCATTTCCCGTAGAACAACATGCTATTTTTTTTCTTTCTCTCACTTTAACCCGTATACGCAAAATGCAGACACCTGGTTAACAGGTGCCATATCTCGCAATCTGTTAATAATGAAGTGAGTTCGCCTTTATTAATTTGATATCTTAATTTCAGTTGCTTTTCACCGCAACTATTCAGACCGCCGCTCCATGGCCATAAGTGCGTGGACCACAAAGAAAGGATTATCTATCTATTTATCTCTGTCTCTTCCTTATCTATCTATCTATCTGACACCTTAGAGAAATGTTTCAAAGACCCACTTCCTAAATAAATCATTAGTACATTCGTTCCCCACTGGCCGCCCCATTTCTGAGATTGATTTTTTTTTTACGGCTTGTCAACCTTTTTCAGATTATCTAAAACCACAAAATATTTTTAGAGTGTAAGAATTTTTCTGGGGATAATAATGATTTACTGATACAAGTACAATGAGGTGGGTCCATACCCCCCCAACGGTAATTTCGCCTAAGTGAATATAACAAACCCGATTGGAATTAGAACTCGGCTCTCTGATTTTCGACTCCAAGCAGTTATCCATTACACCAGACCTCCATTCAAACTTAGAGCGCCTGGTATTCCCAAATGGTCACCCATCTAGGTACTGACCAGGCGTTGCTTAACTTCGTTGATCGTACGGGAAACGGATTTTCGACTTGATATGGTCCTAAGCCCAATTTCTGTGGCTTTTTATTCTACTAACGTAAGTAAGTCAATCGGAAATTAGTATTTGCCAATAGTCGATGTTCATTGCTACTCTAATATTGTAAATTCGTTTTTTTTTTTAATTTAAACATGACGTACGCCCCTAAAAATGTCATTAAAAACTATTGGGAAATGTTGTGCTTTTGGGCGTTTGCATAGACCGGCTAACAATCATTCGGGAACAACAAAAAAAGAAAAGAATTAACCGAAGGGAAAAGAGAAAGAGAGAGAGACACACACAGACAAAAATACAGAGGTAGAGAGAGATAGAGAGAGAAAGAGAGAGAGAGAGAGAGAGAGAGAGAAAGAGAGAGAGAGAGAGAGAAAGTGAGAGAGAACAAAATATTAAATCGCTAAAAAGTCAAACTGATAAAAAAATTTAAATAAAACAAATATCAAACGTTGGCTGTTTTCAGTCAAGGTTTCGTAGACGGCCACCCCAATTTTATATATATATATATATATATATATATATATATATATATATATATTATATCATTTATATTATATTTCGTAATGGATGATGTCATCTGTAGTTGTATCATCTTCAATTCCTCTGGGGGTCT